ACTGAAACTCAAGCCACAACTTTGTAGGAACAAATGCGCTCCCCCCATTGCAGATAAGTGGCTCGGAATGTTTCGCAGTACGAAATTATTCTTGCGTTTAATTCTTTCCTCAGTTTCCTTACTGATTACCCCAATAAGTTTAAAAGCTTGTTCAATTACTTTTTCAGAAGTGTTGTTTCTATCGCCATAAATCAACTGATCGACAATTTCGCCGGCTGATGGCCTGCTACGACTAGCAGAGGCGTATTTTTGGACGACTGAAGGGTCGAGAGGTTCTACATGTACTAAATGGATTTGTGAGTTAATCAGATCTGCAGACAGCGAAGAACATACGCTGGCACCTGCGATGTCTTTAGTCACGACATTAGCACTCAGAGACGGTGAGAATTCTCACCGCAAGCTAAATTTAGCAGGTGCTCTGAGGGGCATTACAGACAAGAAAAGTTTTTCGTTACAGAAGAAGGATCAAAACTCTGCCAACGTACGGAAAGGCGCACTGAATAGCAAGTACTGTTGTTATTTAACTACGAAAACTAGAAAGAGATAGTAGGGAGGGGAGTCACTACAAAGGTTTTTTTTACAAAATAGCACTATTTTGCCAGACTGTCAAACAAAACTGGGAAAAATTTTACCTTATATTGAAAAGTGACTTCTAAAATGTACTCAAGTAAAAAAACAGGCATTCATTGCTTAAGAATATCCAGATAAATGCAAAGCTTCACTTATGTTTGAAATTGAGCTGCGCGCCTAGAACTTGACACGGTTGGAAACCATGGAATGTTGGCAGAAGGTCTAGTATATTTTTGGGTACTGGCGCGAAATTCAATTCGACGCTAGAAGGGCGCCAGTGGGAACTTTGTTGTGACGCCCGAGTTTGGCTTTCTGTGGGTTTATGATGGGCCAGACGAAACAGTCGCCCGGATACTAGGATGAGCAAAGATGTGTAACGCGCTGAAAACGCCTCGTCTAATTTATAATATTTATAGTAATTTTTATTCATGACCCGTGGTGGTTCGTCCATAGCAAGTAAGAATAAGTTTTGCATGAATGTTAGAAGAGATATACAGAATCTATACAATAATTAAATCATAGGTACTAAGTAAGTAGTATGTCACGAAACAGGATGAGCGAGTAGTGAAAAAACTCCTAACCTTCAAACAAAATGAGTATGACTGGATTAACACTATAGGAGAAAAAACTCTCGCTCTTGAATTTAAGAAAGCTGTCAGGACCGGCCTGTATGTGACACTGTAAAACGGATTTTATGAAGGGGTATGAGGCGGGTCAAGCAGGACTGGCCTGAATGTGGTATTGAGTACAAGGTTCGGAACCGACTTCATCAAGGCAGAATTCATATGCAGGATGGGGCCATTCATGTCAAAGTGGAGAACAGAAAACTAGTCTTAAGGCCATAGGAGCCCATATGCGATCGGTTACAGTCAGTTGAGTCCAGCCGAGGGGGGAAGGCAAGGGAGATGCGACCAGACTACTGGTATATGGGGAATACAGAAGGCTCGGCCAAGATCGTCGATAGAGCGCATTCTGTTAAGGCACGATGACTGAACTGAAAAATCGAAAAATTAACATTCCTGATGAGGGATCCCAGGAAGCGATACGACTCACAAAAGAAGGAAATGTGAGCAGATACGGGAATTTAATGGTGGCTTCCCAAATTCCCGCTGACCCTTTCTCAGTGTCATGGAGAAAATTGGCCGGGAAGGATGAGGGAAATAAAAGTTTGGTGGAGTCAGTATTCAGATAAATT